TTCTCTTCCCTTCACTTTGTAGCGATGGATTCGATGGTTGTACAACATTGTCCACAGTAGGCTCATTTGGTTGGAGAGAAATTTCCTCGTCAAGACTAATGTCGTAGCTTCTGCAGATATTGTGCAATGCACAGCACACGTTGACAATCTGTATTACTTTTTCCGGGGAATAGTGCAACGTCCCCAATAAACATCGAAAACGGCTTTTTAATACACCTACATATGTCCGTATTATGTTAATTTTAATTCAATATCTTGGATTTGTAAATAAACAAACGCACCTACAGTACGCTCCACAATATTTCGAGCTGAAGAGTGCGCCATGTTGAACTTTAGAGTTGTGCAATGCGTCTCTATATCAGTGTCCGCCAAACACTTTCCTGGGAAACGAACTATATTCGGCCTTTCACATGTACACAATCGGCTTCTTACACGTACACAATCCGAACGTCAACAGAAAGAGTAGCAGAGCAACAAATTTTATTTAGTTGCATGCAAACAATAGGCGAAGCATGTTGATGACGCATTTCCATGCATTACCACCAACACATTCTCATTTTTTATTTCATAACTACTACATTCTCATTTTAAGACTTCTCTTTTTGGCGGACACTGCTCTATATGGTGTCAAAAGGAAAGGCTCAATGACATATCCACAATCTCCTAAAAGTCTTGATGCTCGATCGCCCGATTCGTACTCCCTAAGAAAACTTTGCCGTGCGTCATTAATATTCCAGATGAATGCATCGTGGCTGGAGCCAGGATACCGAGCATCTACCGCACGTATCTTCATAGCGCTGTCGCATATCTTTAGACGAAATTAGAAATAAGTTGGGGAAAACACGTTATGCAAAATAGTTATTACTTACAATCATAGCATTCATGCTAAAATATCCTTTGCGATTAAAAAATAAATGCTCGTCCACAATAGGCTTTATAATTTTAATGTGTGTCCCATCGATGCAGCCAATGATAGAGGGAATCTTAAATTTGCTGTAGAAATAGTTTCTCGATTTAAGCTGCTCATTGCTATCCATTGTAAGCTTCACCCAACGAGGGCAAATGAAACGTTCCATAATTTTCAGCACTTCACTCAGAACTAGTGACACTGTGCTTCTACCTAGGCTTATGCCAGAGTCATTCCCAACCGACCGCTGATAAGAACCTTTGGCTAGAAATTGCAAGACTGCCGCTAGCTTTAGCAATGGTGGAATGCTAGATGCAGGCAAGTGGGGTTTTACGATATCTAGCACCATAATGAATGCGTCTTTGTTCAGGCGATATTGTGCAATGAATCTGTATGATAATTGAGGCGTTACTAAAATTGTCGCGCTTAAAAAGGATATGTACTTACGCTGACTCTGGCAGCTCCAACAAATTGCTGCGGTCTCTTAAAATTTTCCGTTTCACCTTCTCAGAAACTTCTTCCTGCATCAATAATAAAGCTGCTATTGCTGCGGCCATTGCTTTTTATTTAATTTTCACTTTTATTTAATTTTTTCAACAACTTCGTCAAAATCTTCACAAATGCGAATTGAAAAGAATTGAACTTAGCAAAACAGCTGATTCGAATATGGGTTTTGTGTATGTTCGAAAAGAGCCAAATCCAATTAGATTCTGTGACACCTTCTAAAATCGGAATTGGTTTGCAATTCCGACAATGGAGCAAATCCGGCTTGGTTTCCACAACAGCCCTGAATATCTATTACTTTCATCTACATTGCTTTTATTGTTAGGTTTCACG